GGCAGAGTACTTATTTGCTACTTCCATGATGACAGCATTGTAACGGGGTTAAAAATCCCTGTCAATAAGGGTTTAAAGTTGATAGTATTTTTTTATGATCATCACAAAAATCAGAATGTAATCAAACAATATATCAATACACTATTCTGACAATATTACTATCCAAATTTGAAAATATATATGACTTGTTTATTTGTTAGGAGCTGATGCAAATATATGCTTTCCATTTGATTTCTCTTAAAATAGTGCTATATGACGAGTTCTCAATATGCTTTTCATTTCAAACATTTACATGGTACAATGAAAATAAAAGAACACTTCCATCACCAAGGTAAGATAAAGAAGACTTCAGTCAAGAGAGTAAATTAGTTTAGAGAAATATCTCAAGATAATGGAAATTCCTGCTAACTCCAATTGAGAAGAACTGGAATTTGACCTTAGAGCTTCCTGAATTCAATGGTATTTACAACCATCTGGTCCTTACACCAGCAAAACACTAGGGGTCACTCAAGTCATATATATACAGACATTTTTCTCATTACAACTTCTGGACTAAATTTTTCAGACTCCATTCAAAGGATAGGAGGAGAAAAACAAAGGAGAGGCTAATAATGTTCCACAGAAATGTACTCATTACATTACTCATGTAACTATAAATCCATCTACACAGTATCTTTGCAATAAAATAAAATTTTAATATGTGGTTCGAAGACCATCCTGGACAAAAAGTTCACAAGACCCCTTCTAAGTTGATAGTGCTTGACACAGTGCTGTGTAGCTTTTATCCTAAGCTATGGAAGGGGGTGAGATTTGTAGGATTGCATTGACAATTGGGTTATTTTAACTTCATATTCACCTTTTGCTGCCAACTTAGTGGGACTCCAAGATGTGGTCTTTAGCTGCTTCTTTCCTTGAAAGTAGAGAAAGGTCTTCAACTACTGCATAGGATGCATAGCCCTCTGGCCAGCTATTCATGGAGCACAGGAGAGAGCTACAGAGCAAAATTCTACCTTTAAACTGGATTCAGATGTAGAGAAGAATGTTAAGAAATGTCTACTTAGGGGATAAGAGAGTTCAAACTCAGAAGCTACTTAGAAAAAAAAAAACAGGCAGGTTAAATTCTACATGCCTTGAGATTCAAGGATCTACTCCATCCACCCCGTTTGGAGTAATGCTTTGTGCTTTGTGACTAGACATCACTTTTATATTATGCAAACACTCCCTGTGTGATCAGAAAGAACATCTATTTCAGCCTTGGAAGGGAAAAGTGTGAATTAATCTATCCTCAAACAGTGAGGGATGGGGCTGTGTGTGATGACAGAGTCTATAAGACAGTGTGCAGAACCTGTGGTCCAATCATGGTCCTCAAGTTGCCAACATTGGTCTCCAAGGATGGCAAAGAGTTCCCTCAACAAGTAGTTTTCCAAGGCACAGGAGGCACAGCAGCCAGACAGTGTCGTGGCCCCAAACAATAGCACTTGGCAACACAATGGACATTACAAGGCAGTGCACCTGCCTCAGTCTTTTCCTAAATGGTCGCCAGATCGTAGGCACCTGGGGACTCCTACTTCCACAAAAAACAACAGGATTAGGAATTTGAAGCATGTCAGAGGCAACATAGAGAAAATGGTACTTTTATTTTTTAATTTAATTTTATTGTAAAGATGCTGTACAGCGGGGTTATAGTTACATTTCTAAATCAATGAGTACATTTCTTGTGAGTATTGTTACCCTTTCTCTTATTGTTCTCCCACTATCCCTTCCTATTTTATATTTTTTATCATCATCCTTATTCAGCTTCTTTGCTTGTCTGGTCCTCTACAACATGAGCCACACCTCCAATCCACCTTCTTGAATGTTAATTAGGATTTGATCATGATCCTTGAGATCTTCAGCCTCCTGTTTGGTTAGGAATATAGTCATGAGATACTGATATCTGACAAATGTTTTCATGATTACATTTTCATTCTATGAGCTCATGACATAATTTGTACTGCTTATTCATTTTGCCTCAGTCCAAGTTTCCATATTGGATAATTACAGTATTAATGGTTGGGACAGCCATAACCACACTTCACAATTTTACTGTTCAGAGTAGCAGATAGGAATTGTTTTGTCACATATTTGATTGCTGGAAGGGGAAATAATGTTTCTGTGCAGCACTGACAGAGCATCCTGTTCTACAGCAGGTTTTAATGAAGGTCCAGTGAAATTTCAGCCATTGCATTGAGAAAAATGAACAGTGGAACAACTCTTGAGTTTTAATCTGGGAAATTTACATTTCAAATATGGGCTCCTCTTGTGGGTCCTCTACATACAGCCTGGGATGAGATGAAGTAAGGTTCTCACTAAGAGCTATAAACCTTGACAGGATCATATTTTGTAAGAATAGAAATGACAGTTACTGAGAAAATTTTGCTCATCAGAAAATTAAGCACTCTGTTCCATTGTACACAGAGAAATAAAAAGAAATATGTGATTAAATAGGTGCACAATTATCATGAAGAAATAAGATAGGTTTACTAATTAAATTGTAAAAATAAGTCTATGGAATTTTATATTCACATTTTTAGGTGTAAACAACTCTACTGTTATCCACTTTAATTTTTTTTAATGTTATGAGCTCACTAACTGTAAGAAAGGGACTTTTTCCTCTGTATCTATTTTTTCAGCCATGACCACTCTGATTAGTTTATTAGATCCAATAACAACATTTCTATCATTTTTTGTAAATTTTATTTTATTGTAAAAAAGCTGTACTGAGGGGTTACATTTACATGAGGACGCAGTGAGTACATTTCCTGTGGAACATTGTTACCCTTTCCCTAGGTGTTCTCCCTCTATCCATTTCCTCCCTCACCACCTTCATCCCTTCACCCTCTCCCTCCTCCCACCCGAAGTTATAAAGTTCATTTCCAATATACTCTCTTGTGGATATATGTTGCAATGCGTCATCTTATGTCTTTGTTTCACAATTTTGTTATTCCCCTTCCCGTCCCCAAAATAGACAAATATATGTAAAAGATGCAGGGTATCAAAACCAAGTACAGTAACAACAGGGGATATACCGTAAGGGGAAGAACATACAAAGGAAACAAAATAATCACATAGTACATTAAAAATAACAATAAAGAAAGACCTCTTGTGTCCATACCTTGGGTTTCATTTCACTTAGCATCATGTTATATGGTCATATGTACATAGCTTATGAGCTTTTTCTGATCATCTGATAAAATTGTCCTATACATACACTAATTATTGTAAATGAAGGAAAGCTTGGGACCTATATGTCCTTTGGTTTGGCTTACTCCAGCTTAGGTCTCTGGGATTAACTGTCTTTTGTTGCCAGTCCTGTACTTGAACTCAGGGCCTGGATGCTATCCCAGAGCCTCTCTGTGCTCAAGGTTAGTGCTCTACCACTTGAGTCACAGCACCACTTCTGGCTTTTTCTGTGTATGTGGTACTGAAGAATTGAACTGAGTGTTTCATGCATAGTAGGCAAGCACTCTACCAGGACTGACTGTCTTATTTCACAATTAGCCGGGTGATTCTTACTCTATCCTCATATCTATTCTTCTTCCACCTGCAACTGAGAGCTATTCCTCTAATTGTTCTACTCTCAAACCCATCAGGAGACCTTGTCTGAACCAGGACTGCATGTTTATCATAAGCCAGGTCCAGCATCAAAGCTCTATGCAATATGTGGAGGGGAGAGAAGAAGACATGAATTTATTTCTATAATCTGCTGTGGCTCCAATAGTGTGTGAAATAGTTCAATTAGCAGGGTTGCTATAGGAACCTGTCATGTAGGGCCTGATATTGATGGACTCTGACTTTGGCAATGCCTGGTCTGTGAGCTACTGGCCTTGGGGAGCACTGTTATCTTTATGCACCTACAGCAACTGCTTGGACTCACAATAAGATGGTGGATTCATTGTCAAGCAAATGTCCTGTCAGTGTCTTCCCAGTTGTGACATCCAGCACTAGGGTGAACAGCTTCCTCACATGCTGGATTCCAGGTGGGAGCCTTCTGCATCGTACTCTGGATTTATCACCTGTGGCATTTTCCCTTGTCTTCTCTGGGCTTTGCAGCTCTGGTGCTTCACTTCACACTTCACTATGCTACATGTCATCCTTTCCGAGGTTTTTTATATCATAAACTCTAAGTTCAATCACTCAAAACTTCTTTAATTATAAATTCCATTAAATGGGAGGTACTGTAGGAATTTACAGAGTTAAGTTGAAGTTTAGTTCAACCTTGATTTAGAGAATAGCTCAGGTTCTGAGGAGGAATAAGTTGGATTAAGAACATTAAAGCATGAATGTTATCAAGATTTCAGGAGGCTTGCAGCTCAGAAATGTACAATGATAATATGGGTATGCCTGTAGCCAGGTCTTTTCAGTATACAGAGAACCAATGCATGATGTTAAGTCTACTGGATGATGGTGGTGGGAAATTCAGAAACAGAGGACAGCAGCCTGGAGTTGATAACAAAACCCAATGGCTAGCCTGAACATTGTACACCATAGCACAATACTGCACATACTTTAATGTCATACTTTTCATTGTCTTTCATTAAGTCTTAATTGATACTTGTCTATCATCTATTTATTTATCACTCTCTCTATCAACCTACATACCCATGTAGGCTGAGTAATTGAATTATTGTGTCTATGATTAACAAATGGGTTCAAGGAAACCAAAGACTTAGAAAATCTGATCTAAATCATTAATTCTACATTTTGGGACCATTTTTGCTTGAAAAAATGACTTAGCTAAAATGCTATCATGAAAAGTGTGTCATGACCCATGTATAAATTAAAGTTCACTGTATTTAACCAGAGAGGCATTCTGTCCCCTGAACCCCAGAGAGAAACACATTCTCTTCAGGCACAACAGTACCCTGGTATTGTTTTTTGTATCTGGGGCATCATGTCTGGGCTGAGATACTGAAATCTGGCATGTTGGTGCAGCTGTGCTGGCCCCTTCCAACCCCTACTGATTTGCATGTGCCCAGAGCACAGCCCACTGCCCTGAGCAGTTCTTGAAAGCTGCTGACACCCTGGGCAGGAGTCAGTCCTAGTGAGCACACAGCATGGACATGAAGGCCCCTGCTCAGTTCCTGGGGCTCCTGCTGCTCTGGATTACAGGTAAGGAAAGAGTACGCTGAGGATCTCCTCAATCTGCTGTAGTCAGTGATGCTTGGCTGTTCATGAAGCTTTCTTATAACATGCTTGATTCTATGTATACTTATTACTTTTCCAATGGCAGGTACCAGATGTGACATCCAGATGACCCAGTCTCCCCCCACTTTGTCTGCATCTCCTGGAGACAGAGTCACCATCACTTGCCGGGCCAGTCAGGGCATTAACTATGCGTTAAACTGGTACCAGCAGAAACCAGGAGGAGCTCCAAAGCTCCTGATCTATGGTGCAGACAATTTACAATCCGGGATCCCCTCCAGATTTAGTGGCAGTGGATCTGGGACAGAGTACACTCTCACCATCAGTAGCTTGCAGCGTGAAGACATTGCCACTTATTACTGTCAACAGTATTATGATAGCCCATCCACAGTGATAAAAACCATAACATAAACCTCCAAGAAGCAGAAGTGTGAGCCTGGGCTGTCCCAGCTGCTTTCCTCATACTTCCTCTTGCAAGAGCTGTCCTAGAATCAGGACAGGAAAGATGCCCAGGCTATCCTGGACCAGCGAGCTTCTGTGTCTCAATCTTTGGAGTAAGTGTAATTATAGTTGTGCGATACTGGCACTGGCCTGAATTTTGAAATATTAAAATTACATTCCAGACTATAAACATGGAAATACTTGAATTTATTTAGGTTTTTTAAATCTTGAATAGATATTCACAATGTGCACAAAGATACTTCGAAGTTATTTCAAAACTTTTATATTGAGAGTTTTCAATAGTTCATGCGTGAATTTCATCAGCAAGTGAAGACAGTTTGCCACTTCCTTTTTCTGCTTCAAGTCTTTTGTGCTTTTTTCCAATTAGTTGTATCTTTTCTTATTGCATTTGGAGAACCTCAGTACAATTTTAGGTACAGAAGGTAATAGTGAACATTTCATACTTTAATAAAACTTGAGTGGTAAATGCTAAATAACTATATCAATGAGTACAAAGTTTGTTGCAGAGTTTGGCTCTTTTTTGCAAGGCAAACGCTCTACCACTGAGCCACCTTCCCAGCCCTGCCTCTTTTTTGAAACAGGTATTTTCCATTATTCCTGGCCTGCTGATATGTCACGGATAGCTGTTGAGGCTATTAGAATTATTTTTTCACATAAATGGAGACAGCCTATAGTTTTTCTCTTTAACTCAATCAGAATGATGAACTGCAGAGATCAGTTATCTAATTTTAAAAGAGATTTCTACTTGTGGAATATATTCGACTTGATCAACATACATTGCCTGAGAATAATAAGAAAAATGAGAGAGAGAGAGAGAGTGTGTGTGTGTGTGTATGTGAGAGAGAGAGAGAGAAAGAGGTGAGAGAGAGAAGCAAAGTAAGAGATGGATATGAATGGAAGGAGAGAAAGGGAGGGTGAAAGGAGGATAAATTTAGTTTATTTCTATTGTCTAAATCCTAGTTCCACTTAGCAATCAAGCAGAAATTACCAAGAGAAACATTGAATGCAAACAACACTGTTGGCACTGGGTAAACAGCCATTCTGTGCTCTCCCCTGCAAGATTCACTGAAGGAGAGATGTTTCTTGAGCTTAGTCCCTCTGTCCTCCAGACCAGTTCCCACCAAGAATCACTGAATCATCTAGCTCACTCAATGGTCTCTGTTTTAAGCTCAAGAATCTAGCAATCTTTGACAGTCAGCACAACAACATTGACGTCTTTTATTTATAGAAAGAAAAATGGAAAAACCTCAAGATAAAGCAGATCTTCCTTAAGTCAGAAGCCCTCTGATTCTCAGATTGACAAGTGAACATATGCATGCAACTTATGCATCATATTTCTGTATTTATACCTGATGTATAAGATACAGTACATAATAATTAATATAAATTATATGAAATATATTATATGCTATTTTGTATATATGATGTATTAAGATATTAGTCTATGATTTTTCTGAATTTCCCTATTTTATTGTTTTCACATTTTTTGTAAAGGTGATATGTAGAGGGGTTACAATTATAAATGTGAGGTAAGGAATAGATTTTTTTTTGAATAGTGTCTCCCTCATTATCTCCAAGGTCTACACTGCCAACTACTCCCCCAGCCCAAGTTGTAAAGTTCATTTCCAATATATTGTCTAATAAGTATTATTGTCACATTCTTTTGTTATTATATGTTATGTCATTTATTTATCTTCTTAAGACTTACCAAATTTTTTAACCAATGTATAGGTGAACTCTTCCATTTTTACAAAATATTGTCCTACTGATTATAACTGTACCTGGAAATATATCCAACTAATCATAAGGAATAACTTGGGAAAAAAACTGACTCTGAAAGAATTTCTATGGTGGGTATTGAAGTTTCCACTACTAAATATCATGAGTTAAGTATTAGGGAAAAGGTATACAAAAAGGTGAATTACGAGCAAGTAAAAATGACAAACATAGGGCATCTCTCTTTTACAGGCAATATTCTAACTGTGGATGTAGGAGGAAATAGATTGAGGAGGTAGAGATGTAGTGTGATTAAAGACTTCAGGGGTTTGTTGTCATTGAAGAAAATACTTAGGATTATGAGTTATTTGATCCTATGAGTGAAAATAGCCAAGGGAAAAATTGGTCCATGTATGGAAGAAAGTAAAATCCCAGGGAAAGATACAGCAAAGTGTTCAGCACTACTGTAACAGTTACACAAACGAGGATGCTGAAGCAGACAATTAAAGAACTTAGTAGCTGTCACACTCCATAAAGCATGGAAGGGCGGGGCCACCAGGGCACATTGTTTGACCTCAGGCTCACAAGATAGCAGCTGGATTGTGTCTATTGATGTGCATTTTACCCTGAGTCTGCAGAGACATACATGGAATAGAGTGGCACAGATGAAAATGCTTTCTTGAGACACATGTTGCAGATGGAAAAGGAGAGTTTAATTTTTATTGGGGAACTAGAAGACAGACAGGGAGGACATTCAGAGCCAGAGAACTTAAGCCAAAGTAAAGAGCTGATAACACTGTCCTTCAAGACATAGATGAAACTTAAAAAAAAGAAAAAAAGAAAACAAGCAAACAAATATAACTATGTAACTGCATAAAATAAGCATTTTTTCCTGGCAGAAACAAATATTCCCCTATCCCTACAAATATTAATTTGATCTTTTAGTGTTCCAGATAAAGATTCATATCTTTCCTACTCTCTGGGTAGATATACCTTGTAACAACACTGGAGACTTATAGTATGTGTGCATGTATGTGTGTGCACTTTTGTGTGCATACAGGTGTGAAGGGAGACATGGGGAAATGGAGAAAGGTGAGGATGGAAAGAGACACTGCAATGAATGTAAAGAGGGACTGTGTGTTTAGGTATGGACACCAGAAGGAGGGGAGAGGACAGGAGATGGCAATAGTGGTATTGTAACTGAAATACAGAATATAAATGTCATCAGTATAATACATCAGAAGTAAATAGTAATGGAATAAAATATCCAGTGGTAAGTATGAGCAAATAAATTGTATGCATGTATGTATGGAGGTTTAAAAATGAACTCCTTTGGACAGGTAATATATGCAAATGGAAATGAGAGGAAATGGGAGAAAAGGAAGGAATGAGGATTCATAAAATCTAGTTTCTCTAATCTTACAAGATGCAATTTTACAGTATGACCATTAGATGGCACATCTGACACTGATCACACAAAGCCCCCAATAAAAAAATACTAGAGGGGAAATAAGAGAACTATGTCTGCTGTCACTAGTGACACCCACTGGAACTCTGACCAGAGCAACAGCCCCAAACATAAACTCGCAGCCACTGGAACTCTGACCAGAGCAACAGCCCCAAACATAAACTCGCAGTTAAGTAGCTTCTCCTAGCAGGATGGATTCGGGGGTGAAAGTCTCTGTCCTTGCTGATTCTGAGACTGGAAGCCTGGAATTGCCTCTATCTCTGCATTCTGTATGGAACCAAAGCTGTCTCTAAAGGAAGGAGTTGTGTCTCCTGTGTGTGTCCTTATGGGGAGTGACCTGCAAGGAGGAAACGAATGTTAAAAATGCAGTCATTACATCCAATGCATGTCCTAAAACTTAAGACAATTGAGGAAAGAGGTTGTTTGGGAAGGATGGGAAAGAATGATGAAAAGGGTGATATTGAATAAGATGCATTGTGTAAATAAACTGCTTTATTGAATGGCAACTCACTTGTACAAATACTTAGAGATAATTTTAAAAAGAGAGGAAGTATAGTGAAGAGTGACTTCCATATAACCAATGTCATTAGAAGAAAACATTCCAAGACACTCTTTCTCTAGCCTTCTTCACAGGCAACAAGCCTGTAAGGACATGACAAAAATGTGAATTATCAGGACAGTCAGGAATCTTGGATTTACCAAACTTCTAGAAAATTAATCCCAGTTAATTAATGAACCTTGCTCCAGGTATTTTGGCTTCTTACTGCACATAAGCCAAACGAATATAACAAAAACCAGCTCTGCCTGAGCAGGAACAGCCTTAGGAGTTGACTTTGGGACATAGAGTCCCTAACTTTATTATTCTCCATCCTGAAGCTTTGACCTTGGTAAGAAAGGACTACTGAAGCTCCAGACCCAGTGTGTCGGCATTGAGCATGACTGTATCCTTCTGAATGAAGATATTTTCCCGTTTGATCTGAACAGAATGACATTCACTAAATAGCCTGCTTGATCAGTATTGATTTTTGTTCTCACACTTAGATATCAGTGAACAAGTTATGTGGTCCTTATATCCAGCTTTTCTCCCTGCTTCCCAGGATGTGGGTGATCAGCAAGATGATTAACAGCATCCTACACAGAATCCAAGTTTTCTCATTCTGGGAGAGAGGGGATGCTGTCTGTTTATTTCCCTTTGTAAACAGGAGCTTGAATCTGAGGATCTCTGCCAGGCTTTTGTGGCATACATAGAATCTAGGATCATGATATTAGAGGGGGTCATGTATGCCCATATGAGAGTTTTTTATCATTTCTTTCCTTTCTTTATTTTTTGTCAGTCTGGGAGCTTGAACTCTGTGCCTGGGCACTGTCCCTGAGATTTTCAGGTCAAGGCCAGAGCTCTACCACTTTGAGCCACAGCGCCACTTCTTGACCATTTCATATATTACTTTTTAAAGTGTAATCATACCTGTCATTGATAACACTTGATCCAGGTTTCTTACAGTAAAGTCATTAAGTGCAGGTCAGAAAGGTGAGGGAAGGAGGGGAGACCCTGCAGATATGCAGCCCTGAAGGGATCATATGCAGTCACCATGTGGGAGGGGAGAGGGAGCTGCAGTATCAGTGCTGTCCCCAGCAGGTCCCCGGAGCCCTCTGCAATGAGCAGGTCACTCTTAAAGGACACAGATTTAGTCCTGAGCTTCATGATGCTCAGGCTTACATTGAGCAAGGGCTACATGGTGACATGCACATTGTGCATTAGAGAATTTTCTCAGTGTCAGAATTCAAAATGATGACTTACACAATTAAAATCATGTTTATTAATGTATTAATTTAACAGGTAATTTACTACATATAAATAATACATGTTTAACTTCTGCATTCATTTGTGATATGATCCTCTATGTTCTGATAAGAAGGGACCCCAGTGGATTTAAGGCTCTGTCCTGAGGACCCTGCTGACTTTCCACATTATCCCAACCCCTCAGAATCAGTGAGAGAAGCCCTGGATCATCCTTTCACAGAGTCAGCCCTGCTCTGAAGGCTGGGTCTCTCAGAATTTCACCTCAGTCCCAGACTTCATTCCGGTTCATGGCCCAGACTATAAGCACTTTCCTTTCCTGGATGCATTTTCTT